GTTTTTCTGTTGTGCTCCTGCGGACCACTACGGAACTTTCGCGAAATATAATTGTATTATGTTTGCACCCTGTATAAAGGGTCGTTCATGTCTAGCCGAGTTTAAATATCATGGCAAACTTCGTTAAATATAAAACTTTTTACGAGTAATTGCGATTTGTTGCACTTGATTGGATCGAAACGTAGGACACAATATTAGATAATTGCTTTGTTTTCAGCATTCCATAAAACTCATACAAACCACCTTCAAAATCCAATTATTACGAATTAATGCTCTGAAGATGGCTTCCTACTAAAACGAAACGTCGGACGCAATTCTAAATCATTCCATCGTCTTCAGCGCATCTCAAAACCTCCGGAATCACCTTCAAATTCCAATTATTACGTATTAGTACTTTGAAGATGGCTTCCTGCTAAAACGAAATGTCAGACACAATTTTAAATCATTGCATCGTCTTTAGCGCACCTCAAAACCCCCGGAACCACCTTTAAGTGCCAATTATTAAGAATTAGTGCTCTGAGGATGGCTTCCTGCTAAAAGGAAACGTCGGACACAATTTTAAATTATTGCATTGTCTTCAGCGCAACCTCCAAACCCCCGGAATTTCCCTGAAAATCTTATTTTACGTTTCGATACCGTTATTATTGACGATGTTATTCCAACGAAAATCTATAATGAAATGAGCCTCCAATGACATGCATAGACCAATATGATTAAAGCTTAAGAAAATTGCATGTATAATTGCCGAACCAATCAAAATAAAGGATTCAAACAAATCTCACAGCCTACTCCTGAATTAGAAACATTATTCTCAGAATATTTACATTTCAATTTTTTTTTAAATACTTACATTGCTCCGAGGGGGTTGAAATCTTTCTTCAAGATGATGGTTAAAAAGATCTATTCGTAAATACTACAAAATCCCCCCCTCTAACCCCCCCATTTCTAATTAATATTTTCGAATTGTTGTTTTGATGTTTGTCATAATTTTCCTTAAAAATTTAGATTTTTAATTTTTTAAACCACTTAAGTTGCCCCAAGAAGGTTGAAATTTTTATCGAAGATGGAGGTCAATAAGGTCTATTCACAGATACCATAAAATTCCCCCCAGCCCCGTCCATTTAAATATTATTAATTATTTTTAAAAATTTGCAGTCACACACATAAATCGCTCCCGACGGTAAACGGTATAACTTGTGGGAATCTTTTTGGTATCATTGGATTGAGGAAGGACCAAAGTATTTAACGCATAAATTTCAATTTTTTAAAATTATAATTAAATAAAATATAAAACGTTAAAAATTTATCATTGATTTTTAAGCCGATTTTTCCATTTAAAATGAGATTTCAAGGTTATTTCTCAGCTCATATTGATCCGAGAAAGTTGAAATTTTTATGGAAGATACACATCAGTGAGGTCCATCCGCGGATACTATAATGTCGCCCCCAACCCCCCATTTTCTTTTAATATTTTCAATTTATTATTTTCATATTTATCATGTTTTTCTTCAAAAATTTTAGATTTTTAATTTTTTAAGATTGAAAGAGAAGATTGAAATTTTCATGGAAGTTAGGGGTCAATGAGGTCTATTACTTATTCTCAATTTATAATTGTCATGGATATCATGATGCTCCTCAAAAATTCATGTTTTCATTTTTTTTAAAATAACTATGTTGCCTTGAAAAGATTGAATTTTTTTTCGAAGATGGAAGTCAATGAGCTCTAGCCATAGAAATTATAATGTCCTTCCCAGCTCCCACCATTTAATTATAAAAAATAATTAATACATTTTATTTTTAAATTGCAGTCTCCTACAAAAACCGTTCCCGAGAAAAAACTATACAACTTGAGTAAAATCCTTTAATATCATTAAATATAGAAAAGACCATAGTATGTAACGTATAAATGTCAAATTCTTAAAACTGCAAATAACGGAAATAAAAAGCATTTTATCAAAAAGATCCGTTTTTTTGTCGATATTTTGTCCCCCGGAAGGACTAAGGAGCTTATAATTAAACAACTGACTATTTTTTTTGAAAACCCCCCCGACCCCCTATCTTCGTGTCAAATTTCAGCCGGATCGCTTAACATCGACTTCGATCCAAAATTTTCATGTGCCGAAATTTTTTAAAATACCTACGTTGCTCCGAGAAGGTTGAAATTTTTATGGAAGATGGAGGTCAATGAGGTCTTTCCACAGACACCATAAAGTTAACCCCAGCCCGGCCGATTTAATTGTAATTAAGCATTATTTAAAAATTTGCAAAATTTTACAAAAGCCCTTCCCGACGGCAAACGGTACAACTTGCGTGAAACTTTTTGGTATTGTTAGATAGAGGAAGGACGTAGGTATAAAACATATAGATTTCAATTTCTCACAGTTTAAAATAAGCGAGATATAAATCATAAATTACGGACCATCGATTTTTGAGCTGGTATTTCCGCCCAAAATGTGATTTCGAGGTAATGTCTCAAAAGCTTGCAAAATTTTGGCCAAAGGGGTTTCTGAGTATCAGAAATCCGAATCGGAAACTACTTTTTGAAAATGTTGACATTTCATGACGAATTATGATTTTATTGGTTATGTTTTTTCAAATATCTCGCGCACCCTGTATAATAGACGAAAGCTCTAAATCCGAAAATTATAGCTCTCGATACAGTTCGTAACACGTTTTAAACCAAATTTTTCTATCTTTTACAGTTTTTCATTTATAGCTAATATTTTATACACGAAAACGGAAATTTTCACGGTACTTTAGATATTTTGCCCATAACCGAGACACCCTGTACATAATCGGAAAAATTACGGAAATCGAGATTAAAACCCTGAATCTCCCACGTTCCGTGGTAGATGAAGTTTGCCAATAGAGCAAATGGTTTTCGAGAAAATAATACTTATCTGAAACAATGCAGCGCACAGCACGTGATAATGGTGACGTCATCGCGTCTAAATTGACCGCGATTTTCACATGCATTTTTTCAAATATCTCGAGCAGCATGTGTTCTAGATGAAAACCGTAAATACAGAAATTGTAGCTCTCGGTGTGGTCTACACCTACGTTCTAAACAATCGGCCATATTTTTTACGAATTTTGACCTACTGCTAATAATGTACTCTGGAAAAGGACAATTTTCAGAGTCTTTCAGATTTTTGGCTATAATTCAAAAACCCTCTATATAATCGAAAAAATGCCCGAAATAAAGTTTATAGTCCCGGATCTTCTGCGTCTCTTGGTTCAAGAATTTTGTTGATCGGGTGAAGCGTTTTCGAGAAATGAATTTTTTTATGCAGTCCAAAATAGCGCCAAAAAATTTTTCGAAAATTTTTAAAAAATATTTGCCGATGTCCGATTGCGCCCAGCTTCAAGTGTTTGGGTGAATGGGTGGACTTTTACCACCCTGCCAAATTTGAAGTCGATAGCTGCAAATTTGGGGCACCTGTTGCATTTTTCAATAAAACGCAATATATCTCGAACACCCTGTACAATACGCGAAAACCTTAAATACAAGGATTTTAGCCGTCTCTACGGCCTACACTGTCATGTAGAAAAAAAGTCTGACTGAGTAACAGTGTTTAACTTACAGTCAATTATCTTTGCGAGGATCAGTTTTTTGGAAATACCGGTACACCCTGTATATTTAGGAAAAATTATCAAGAATAAGGATTTATGGGTATCCACATTCTGCATCTTCTCGTTTGCGAATTGTTTCGATCCGCGAAACCGTTTTCGAGGTATAGTCATTTTTAATTTTTCAAAAAAACGTGGTTTTTGAATTTTTAAAAATACTTCCCAATCACCGATCGATCTCAATTTCAATAGGTTCCGTTAGGGGCTCGGTCTCTACCCTCGTGGAAAATTTCAAGTCGATAGATTCAAATTTCGGACAGTTATCGTGTTTCATAGCGAAGCCGAAACATCGAAACAAAAGTGACAAAAAATCGGGGTTGCCGTGGTCGGATCGGGCTCATATTTCCTTTTCAGAATACCGTTTTTTCAGGATAAAAGGGTCAAAATTTCAGCCCTCTAGCTCAAACGGTTGCCGAGTTATCGCGGTTTTAGTCCATACAGAGAACGGAGAACGGAGAAACAGACAAAAAAAAATTTTTTTGACCCTGAGTCGATCTGTACCAATGGCGGTCCCCTAGGACCAACCGTTTCCGAGATCTGGAAAAAGTTGACTGGCGCGTATATTTTCGCAAAAAATGAACCAGAAGATCAAACAAATGATATATACCAAAATATTGGAGACGAAATGAAGTTACATATACTCAAAGATTCCTTGAATACTCGACCTACTTGAATAAGGAAATAAAGTAATTAAAACACCTAAGTAATACCAATATATCTTTTGTCGTATTCTTGTATGTATATCTTATTAAAACAAATTAAGGTTGTATTAGTAAATATTTACAGACTTATTTAGGAAATTTATTTCAACAAACTTTTGAAATGTAACTTTGTAGGTAGGTGTATATTCCCAAAATGATAGTATAAGTATCTTATCAATACGATAGTGGGTTTCTATTTATTTTATAATAGTTTTGGGAGTCCATATTAAGTATGTATTATTTTTTAAATATGTGTAACTATTTTTTTTTTCAAAATTTGTTTTATTTAAGTTCCCTAATCTTCTTCCATGAGATAATATTTAAATTTAATCTTTTAAATTAATTTCAAAGGAGACAAAATGATATTAGGGGGAATTTTTTAAGGAATTTGCTCCAAGAGCGCATAGATTTTGCTAGTGTTATTACAAAAATCTTATGTTTTAAGTGAATAATACCTAACCTTAAACCAATTTTTAATGATCTTGAGCCAAAGTAATTATGAAGTTATGAAAAAAGTGAAAATACGGCAAAAGTGTAAGTTAATGCCTCAATTTCATATATTTCTACGCCAAATATGATGGAGTATTTACCCCAAAGTTTTTTTTTTTGTAAAAAAACCTTTTCATTTAAAATGCATAACTTCAAATTTATTCATATCTCTATAATTAACCATTAAATTGAACTTGTGTGAATATGACGAAATTTAGTAGTTTTGTGATAGTCCCTATTGCAAAAATTCTTTAATCACACCTTACTCACATGCACTACGTTTCCCGATTCCCTAGGGAACTAGTCACATTTCGCGATGTGGTGAACGTCTATAATCAATAATTGCAGTCCTTATGATTACAGGCCTCTTTGTACATATATTAAAATCAAATGTCAGTTTTTCCCTTAAACGTATTATTAGAGATACCGTTTTTTAAATCTGCAGTACAGCAGACACAAGCGCATCAATTTTTCTGTTTTGTCAAAAAAGGCGAAAAGAACTTCTGTATCATTACCCGGGGTGTGTACAGTGTGTTTTGTTATACTTTTCGCCATACGATGAAAATATACTTAATAAGTAGCTAATTTTGCAAACAAAAAAAGAATAATAGCTGATTTTATTTAAGTTTTAGCAATTTCACCTAAAATCATTTAAAATATACTAGATGATATTTAAAATAATGTGTTTTTGCAAAATATAAACACCTTGTACAATTATTGTTGTGTCGAGCTCTTGGACACCCTGTTAAAAAAAAAATTCCGAGACGCCGCTGAACAAACCCACGTCATTCGCGACCGCTGCTACATAAAGGCGGTCGCTTTCGCACTTGCTCAAACATGAAAGTGGGCAACTATTTCACGTACGTCAGGAGATTGCTGATGGTGGTCGGGATCTGGAAAGTGGAAAGTCCCGACATCTCGTTTTTCGGGAAACGAATCTACCAGGTCTACTCGTTCTCTATCCAATTATTCTGTTACTCGGCGGCTCTGTCGTTGCTCGTCGAAATACCTTCGTTGATGAAGACTGACGTGGCAGCTGGTGAGGATATCAGCAGTAAAAAAATTAGGCCATCGGCAAAGCTTTCAGTTGCAGCGATGGACAACGCAAACAGATTCACCGTGTACATCGTCATCATAATTAAAATGATTGCGTGGCAGACCAGAAGGATGGTAGACCTGCTCAAAGTACTCTTAGACCAAAACCAGCAGATGCAGGCCTCTTGTGCCGACCTCCACATACGTCGCTTGTATAGAAAACACGCGAGGTACAATCACAAGCTTATGTTTCTCCTCGTCAGCTCTGGGACGGTCATAGCGATCAGCATTGCTGGAGTAGGTAAGTTTTCCGTGTGGAAAATGGAAGATACCACAACTACCTACGAATTATTTTGCAAAAATATGTTTACATAAAGTTTAAGATAAAAAATTACTAAAAGCAGGAAATTAGGAGATTAATTTTACTGGAAAAAAGTAGAATTTCAATGACAGTTTGTGGTAATATCAGTATTGGTAGAAAACCTCATAAGAAAAGTCCAGATAGACCAGTGAGGTACCAAAAGTGTAATTCGAAATAAAGTTTTGGAAAAGGGGTTCTTATTTCAACAGTTTTGTTTCTACTACATCCGCGCTAGTTATTGTCGTCTTATTTCCTCATTGTGTACAGGGTGCTCGTAATTGCCTACAACTTTTTTATTTTTAACTATTTCATTTTTATTTTATTTTTATTATTTATTTATTTAACTTTCTTATTTGATATGGCAATCATAGTTGGCTATTATCTTAGTAAAATGCTCTTATCGAGCCCTTTTCAACCATATAGATTCGTTATTGTTTGTAATGGAAAAAGGCGGAAACAAAGGGGATTTTTTATTTATGTATTAGTAGGCCACGCGCGCTGTCGATGTCAGTAAAGAACTTAACTTTTATTCAATTCTTTTATATTTAAAAGAAACTTCCACAAGCTACTGTAATAGTTTTTATAAAACTTCTGGATGCCTCCTGCGTCGGTTTTTGTTGACTCGAACTAGCTAATTTTTCGCCAATCATTTTGTTGGCTTCATCAGAACTTGACTGAAACTGGAAAACTTAAGAAGCCACCAGGATGGTTGGCGAAACGCTAGCTAGTTAGAGTCAACAAAAACCGACGCAGGAGGATTCCAGAAGTCTTATAAAAAGTTTTACAGTAGCCTGTGGAAGTTTCTTTGAAAAATTAACAAGCCTTTATGGAAAGAACATCAAGCGCAAAAACAAGTAGTTAGAAGATCACCGACTGAAATTGGTAAGATTACTCCAGTTTCAGTCAAGTTCTGAAGAAGTCAACAGGATGATTGGCGAAACGTCAGCAACTTCGATTTAACAACAACCGACGCAGGAGGAGTCCAGAAGTGTTATAAAAAGTATTGAATCAAAATATACTTAGAAGCCATTTGGCATTTAAACACGTTATTAACACAAGTTTTATTATTTTATATTATGTTAAAACAAAGTTTTTAAATTTGCATAATGTCTAAAATAAAAAATTATTATATATTACAAATAGCATATAATTTTATGAAAAATTTCATTAAGAACTCTATTTTAATTAATTTTAATCCACAGCAAGGAAAAATAGCGATATTTCTCATTGATTTTCTCGCCATGTTTCGTTGTCGCAGCATTTTTATAATAAAAAATCATTTTATTGCTAACACTTCGAAATCTGCAGCTTTTTGAAAAAGGAAACTTTATATAAAGTCATGCTTTTTTAAAGTACGAAAAGAATAAGTATATAAATAAAGTTGTCATCAGTCCGTTAAAATACAAACACTTGAAATATATAGCAAACATCTTTTGTCTTCACTTTCTTTTTGTATATTCTTTGTAGATATTTTAATAGACGGGCCACCCGATTAATTTGTAATAAATTTTTAATCGAAATTCTTTCTATGTTAATTTTTCATTTTTATTATTGTTATTCTTTACTTGCTTCTGCCCTTTTCTCTTGCGGAGTTCTTCTTGAGCTTTCAGACCGGTCTATTTTCTGATTCCCCGCTTTCAATTTCTTGTTAGAGTGTATGATGCAAGATGTTATATTTCCCATTATAAACTATGTGTCCAACTACATTTTCTCTTCTCAAAGGACAGTGAACTATTTGGTACCTTTGAGTACCAAATAGTTCACCGTCCTTCTTCATAGACACATAAACCTTCTTTCAGGTGGCGTGAATATCTATCATTTTATAAAATCGCCGGACAATATCAACGCAACCGAAAAGCCGCTGCCCTACAGGTACTGGTATCCTTTCGACCGCAACAAATACTACTTGGTGGCTTTGGTGGACCAAAACATCAGACCTACGCTCAGTTGCTTTTGCGTTGGTGTCACCAGCGCGTCGCTCAACTCGTTGGCGATATTCGTCAGCATCCAGTTAAAAGTGTTGCAGCACCAATTCGAGCACTTTAACCGGCAGAAGCAGGAAGCCCTCGACAGCCTGAAGTTGCTGTGCGAGAAGCATCAAGGCTTGATCGCGTAAGTGATGACGGCCATTTCCTTTTTGATGATTTCCAGCGACTTTTGGTTGCAGTTTGTATTTCAGATATACCAGTGAGTTCAGCGAATCGCTCAAGTACATAGTGATGCTGGATTATATGGTCTGCTCGGTTACGTTCGCGCTGCTGATCCTCCAGATTATAGACGTGAGGGATGGTCTTTCGATTCGGTGCGTTATTAAGCCGTTTCTTAATAGGGCCAGCAGTTGTTGATCAACTTCACCATATTTACGTTCACTATGCTCACTGAACTGCAACGAAATAATAGTGCAGGTGATTGCCATCTCTCATTGTAGCATTTTGCGAATCCCCGCCGTTTTCAGAGTACGGAGCTGGCGGAAGCTCTCTTTAAAAGCGACTGGTATGACCAGAATCAACGCACGAAAGTTGTGATCCACGTGATGATGATGAGGTGCCAGAAACCGCTAAGTTTGCGTATCGGTTGGTTGGGAGTGATGAATTTGGATGCCGGGATATCTGTGAGTCTCTACTACCTACGAGTGCCTACGAATATGAGATCCAAATTTTCAACGTTTCAGAGGCTAAAACTGGGTTATTCGTACACTTCGATTATGAACCATTGATTGACTCCCAAAGAAAAATGGACATACGATGTATGTAAAGAAATGTAAATAAAATGTTCCTCCAATTTTCAGTGACCATTTTTTCCGAAAGTCTGTGCTAATGTTTATCAAGGAATTTTTACTTTCCTTGGGAATTAAGTAAAAAGAAACGATAATTTTTTTTAACGTGTTAGTTCTCATTGTCTTTTAAAACTTTATAATTGGGAAAACTGTCTTATTAAGAAATGTAACAAGTGTCTCAGATTTGCAGCTATCGGCTTCAGATTTGGTCGGCTAATAAAAATCGACTTTAACGTTGCATTTAAATGCAAGTGAACTTTGCGAAGTATTTTAGAAAATGTTTGAAAAATATTTGTGGGTCAGCGTGTGTCGGTCATGGGAAAAAATCTAAAAGAGCCCGAAAAGTACCGCTTTTTCAGTAAATTATTGGCAGTTAATGAAAAATAACATAAGATGGGATGTCTTGATTTAAATAGTATCATGAGTCGCTATTATTCCAACAGATTTCTATATCTACCAAAGTTTGATATGACGTTGAAGTGCTTATTTGGAAGACTCCTTTTTTGAAATGTCCATAATGGTCAGCAACAGGAATCTTCAAATATTCGCTTTGCCCATTGCATCACAGATTAATATCGGTTTAATGACATTTTTGCCCCAACAATTATAACAAATTCGCTAAATAAGGAACCATCTTCCAATAGACTTTATCGCGAATACAAACATCATTCCCCATTCCCGATATATAATCATCAATTGTAGTCCCTGTGGTTACAGGCATCTTTGTACATACATTAAAAGTAAACTTGAAGATTTCACTTAACGTACTGTTACGGAAAATGTTTTTGCGTTACGGCAACACGCATTGGCATGCGCTAAATCTTTTTCCAGAGTCTTATTTCAATCATGTCACAATGAGGTGGCTACTCCTATGAATGCTTCGAAAACTGAAAAATGGATTCCAATCTCAAATTTTTACACCGAAATGACGAGGCATTATTTTCAAGATTTTATTTATATAAGGCCCATAACTTGATGTTTAATTAATACGATTTACTTTTATTTGTATAAAAAGTTTAATTTCCAGAACCGCCCTTCGGCTGATAATCCGACCTTTTTTTTTAAATTGTCTTCATATGATATTAGAGGTACTGCCGTAAGTTGGTTTAGGTCTTTTGTTAGGGGATTTGAATACGTCTCTGACTCTAGGCCAGTGAAATGCGGTATACCTCAGGGAAGTTTACTCCGGCATTTATGGTTTATAGTGTTCACAAATTATGTGTTTTCTTCTCTCCCCTATGCTTACTTTTCCCTTTTTGCAGATGATGCAGTTTCTACCGTTTCCGCAGCATAGTCTGAGCAATTTAGCATTGCAACCAAGTCAACTGTTGAGCAAATAAAACATTATGCAGAAAAAAAGAGTCTGTTCATGAGGTTTCGTTTTCCTTGCTAAAAATGTACTATTTTTCCTATGTCTATTCCTGTCTTACACAATATCTAGATTTTGACGTTAATTTATGCATTCCGTCCCGGTTTCTTTTTGTTATGTGAAGTTATGCAATGTAAGATTTTGATGTCATCTGATCTATGATCAGGTCGATCATGGTCAGGTTGGCTGAACTATTAGATTCCAAAAATGTTATGTTGGAAGAAATGACTAGAGAGTGGTACGACCGTTTTTTGTTCTTGATTTGTTGGAGAGGTCCCCACGTGCGAAGTGAGCCTTTAGGAGGCAGAAACGCATTTTACTGACTATACCGTTTAAGTCGTGGAATTTTTCATGTCAAGGCCTCTTTCCACAACACTATTAACACTTCCTAGAATGTACAGGGTCGGCCGTTTATCTTGGTACACTACTTTATCTCAGAAAATATATTATGAAAATATGGAGTCAAAAGTTGTAGGCAAAAGTTAATTAGGGTATTACAAATCTTCAATTTATTTGAATGTTGTACATACAGGGTGTTTCATTTGTAGTCGAATTACTTCATTTTTAAATTCTATACAAAATTCTAGACATATTTTGTGTATAATGTCCCATACTTAAGTTTAACCGTTTATGACATTTTTAATGACGCATGACGCAAGACTTAAAATGTCTGTCAATTTTTTCATTCTCATATTAATCCAGAGTACGCGAACAATAAAATAAAAAATGAAATTAACAAACTTAGGAGAAAGTTTTATTCTAAATGGAAACTACCTATATTTATAATTTTATAATCTTGTCATATTTAGCTTTAAAAATTAAGAGAATTTTATATAGGGTTGCATATTTTGACTTTTTGAGATATTTTCTTTTAAACATTTGTCAATCGCAAACAATATGCCGTTGCCATATAATTTCAGTTAGTGTAAGGTGGCTATCACGGCGTTTGAACAAAACAAGTGCTAAAGTGCTGCCACTATGATTTCATATGATGAAAGATTATTAAATGCATGTACACAATAAGGATGCGCGATAACGTTGGTGAATATTTTATTAACGAACGATAAAAAAAATAATAGCTTACAAAGGATAATAATTATTGCAACAGTTGTTCAATACGTCCTCTATTTTGAGCAATACAAGTAGTATAAAGGGTTTCTAAATACATAATCGCATTTCTAACAGATTCAGTCCCATTTAAATATTCGATATTTTGTCTTATCCGTCATTTAAATTCCTCGACAGTTGACGGTTTCTGTATGTAAACTAAATCTTTCGGTGTATCCCATAAAAAAAACATCTAAGTATAAGTCGGGGCTCCATGGAGGCCAGGGGTAACTACCACTCTCCTCAATCCATTCTCCATGTGGATTTAAATAGGTGCAAATTTATTGACTTCAGTGATAAGGAGCGCCATCCTGTTGCCCAATTAAATTTCGTCATTCCCTTTTCATTTTCAACAGCTCTAAGTAGCGTTGGAAATTTATGTTCTCATCAAACAATAATAGACCTATTATTCTGAACCTTCAAATGGCGCACCATACTTGGACAGAAGTTCTAACTGATCCTATAACTTCCATATGATTTTTATTATTCTTCTTGCTCCAGTAATGGGTAATTTTAGTTTAGGTTGTAAATATGGACTGATCTATCCAAATAATATTAGCAAATATATTTTCTGAAAAGTGTCTTTCCACAAGATTGTTGCAAAAATCTAATATGATGTTGTAATCTCGTTGCTCTAATTTCTGAACTGGACAGAATTTTTAGGTCTTTCAGTTGTTTATTTGAAGGCACGTTCAAAGCGTCGTTCTTTCGACATCTGGATCTAAAGACGCATTTCAGGTTGACTCTTCAGGAGTCTCTGCAAAGTGCAACAAAATTTTAAGTGACTCATCATCCTTCAAAATATGACGCCTATTTTTATTTTCTTTCTCCAAGGTTTCATATAATATATAGTGTTGGTAAATCCTGTCGAAGATCTTTTTTCCTGGACGCATCCTTAATGGAAATTTTGTTGTATAATCTCTAAGAGCCAGGGTTCGGTTTTTATTATTCGATAAGTAACTTTCTAACATATCAGTCCATTCCTCTGTGGTAAACATGATACGCAAGCGAATAAAGTAAAATTATAAACAATAAATAAATAAATCAGAACTGTGTCAAAAAATATTTGAATTATTACAGTAATTAACAACAAAACACACGTCCTAGAAGGCAGCGTCCTAGCACTTGTTTTGTTTAAACGCCGTCGTGGCTATGAACTTAGAGAACTTATATGGCAACTGCATATTATTTGTGAGTGAGTAATGTTTAAAAGGAAATATTCCAAAAAGTAAAAATATTAGGCATATATAATCTCATATAAAATTGGCTTAATTTTTAAAACTAAATATGACACGATTATAAAAATGGTTAATTCCCATTTAAAACAAAGTTTTTTGGCAGTTCTGTTAATTTCATTTTTAATAATATTTTTCGCGTATCCTGTATTAATATGTAAAGAAATTTCTTATTAAATCCGTTATTCGAGTTTTTTGTCTACAACAAAACCTACTCAAGTGAAACAACAAATGCTTCCGAATGAAGAAATTGCCAGATATTTTAAGTCTTGCAAACTTCATTTTTCGCATTAAAAATTAAAAATGTCAAAAACGGTTACACTTAGGTATAGGACATTATATACAAAAAAAAATATGTATAGAATTTTATATAGAATTCAAAAATGAAGTAATGTACCAGGTGTTCCTTTTAAACTAAGAAAGTTGATGCTTGACCAAGAAAAATGAAACTCCTTGTATATACAACATTCAAATAAATTGCAGATTTGTAATACCCCAATTAATTTTTGTGAGATAGCTAATAAAAACAATATTCAAACGCACTCTTAAAAGCAAATTTCTTCTCTTCGCCTATTACAATATTTAGGATTTTCTTTCTTGTGATACCTTTTTATACGTATTCTTTGTTTGTTATTGTCTATATATTTGGTATTTATATATTTTTAATTAATTAATTATACTAACATGATTTCATATTATTTATGTTTGTATTGTGACTCAGTTTTAAAGTTTCTTTGATATTTGATTAATTGAAAATCGTTATTATTTGTACACATTTTTATATTTACCAAAGTGTGACATGACTTCGAAGTGCTTATTTGCAAGACACTCATTTACCGGAATTTTTATAGTGGTCCGTAAGAGGAATCTTCAATTCGCCCATTGCATCGTAGATTAATATCCCTTTTCTCTTATGTTTATTAATATTTATTAATCTTCATATTTTAAGGACGTTTTGAATAATGAAATGAAATGTCGGTTTAATGACACTTTTGACCACAACATTGTTACAAGTTCGCTACGTAAGGAACCGTTCTCCAAGAAACTTTATTGCGAATACAAACATCATTCCCGATTCCCGAGATATATATAATCAATAATTGTAGTCTTTGTGATTACAGGCCTCTTTGTACATACATTAAAAGGGAATTTGAGGTTTTCACTTAACGTATTATTACGGAAAAAGTTTTGCGATGAAGCAACACGCATTGGCGTCGCAAAATCTTTTTTCCAGCGTCTTATTTCAATCATGTCACATTTAGACTTTGTAAAAAAATGGATTCCAATCTCAAACTTTTTCCCCGAATTGATGAGGCGTTAATTTATAGATTTTCTTTGTTTAAACCTCCTAACTTGATATTTAATTAATACGATTTATATTTATTTGTATAAGTTTAACTTCTAAAAGCGCCCTTTGACTGATACTCCAAGTAATATTCTCAGACTTTGTAAAAAATCATCTAATGTTAACAATTAATTAGGTGGATACTCCTATGGATGGTTCGAAAAGTGAAAAATGGATTCCAATCTTAATTATTTTAAAGATTTTCTTTATATAAAGCCCCTAACTGGATCTTTATGTAATACGATTTATGTTTATTTGTATAAAAAGTTTAACCTTCAAAAACGCCCTTCGACTGATACTCCCTCCAACTAATTTTGTCTTTATTAAGTTGTAAATTTTCTTGCTTTTTGAATCACGCGACAACACCAATACCAGATCCCGCGGATATGATGGTTTTAGACGCCACTGACTACGGCTCATCATTTGTCCCCGTTAAGGCGTATATAATACATTGAAGTAGCAATTTCTGAATCTGTTCGAAAATGGAGGTGGACAACTATTTCACGCACGTCAGGAGGCTGATGATGGTCATCGGGATCTGGAAAGTCGACAGTCCGGACATCTCCATTTTCCGGAAACGTATCTACCAAGCGTACTCGGTGTGTTTCCAATTATTCTGTTATTCGGCTGCATTTTCGCTACTCGCAGAAATACCGTCGTTGGTCAACTCCGACCTGGCGTCTGGTGAGTGCATTCCCACCCATAAAAAACCAGGCCCTTGGTAAAAATGTCTTTGTAGCGGTGGACAACGCGAACAGGTTCATCATGTACGCGTCGCACATTATCATCAAAATGATCGCGTGGCAATCTAAACGCATGGTCGACCTGCTTGGAATTCTCTTGCAGCAAAATCAGTATATGCAGGAGGCATCCCGCAAGGATCTCCACATACGCCGATTGTATCTAAGGCACGCTAGGTTCAACTACAAAATTATGTTCATCCTGTTCGGCTCTGGAACTGTCATAACAGTTAGCCTTCCTATTGCTGGTAAGTTTTCACAAGTTGCAGTGCAGAGAAAGTGACCGTAGAGAATGCTATTCATCCGTAAAAGACATCTAAAGTCTATTCAATTAACCAAACTGATACACATTGGAACCGCATATCGTATTGAGGATAGTTCCTCAGTGTATTACGAGTCTACCTTATAGTTCTTCCTATCGCGTTGCTCTATTTAAATATTTAAAAATCTTTTTATTTTTCCGTTAAGCTCCAGCTCTACTATCACAAACGAGCACCCATAATAGACGGAAAGTAAATAGTTGAGTTACTAGGTAATATTAAATTCCACCCCTACCGTGTACCTTGTATGATAGACAAACACGGGAAATGCAAAAATTGTAGCTCACGAAGCGGCCTCAAAAGGCCCGAAAATCCAACTGCTGCGTTTGCAACGGTCTGTTAGTTACGGCCGATGATTTACCCTAAAAAATGGTAATTTTCAGTTTGTTGACTATAACTGGTACAACTGGTATATACTGAAACAATATTTTTTGGATATTTCCCCCCATCTGGCGTATCTTCTGGTATTAGATTCTTTCAATCGGATATGGCGTTATTAAGAAAAACATTTTTTTTCGGACCAGAAAAAAAAAATTAAATGCTTCGGAACTTCCGATCCCGCCCAGTTTCGATAGGTTTAATCTGGTAAGGGAACTCTAAGTTTCCGCAGAATACCAACTCGAAATCTCGAAATTTCGGATATTTACTTGCCTTACTAGCAATTTCCCTAGCAAAAACCACTAACACCCGACAAAATAGCAGCCGATTTCTGATGGGCTCTATATTGTGCCGGTCGCTGTGCATTACCTAGTATTAGTGTGGAGCACAATTTGAATCTTGTACTTCCTACCGTTCGAATGTTATCCGACTTCAAAAACTTAATGAAGGTCAGTTACGAAGAACAGACAAATAAGAACAGAGAACAGAGAAATACAAGTCATGTTGTTTTTTCAACGCTGAATCGATCCGTACCCACTGCGACCCTGTACGACCTACCGTTATCGAGATCTCGAGTTTAGTGATGTGAAAGTAACATGAACGTGTTTTGCATTCAGTTGAAACTAATTCTGAGAGTAGGGTTAGTTGTACACGACATATTAATGGGGCGAAATATGGTCCCCTCTACTCTTTTTAAGGATGAAGCTGGATCTGGACGTGAAGGACTTAGCAAGTTTTTATTGCACATTACTTTTTATACGAGAATCCTCAGTTGATAATATACTGCACATTTGGAAACAACTCTCATTTCTTTTCACAAAAGCTCAAGTGCTTGGATTTCTAATTCCTTATTTTCTTGGAACTTAGGCAAAGAATGTGGTTGCCTGAAGGAGAACTGCCCTGGAGTCATTATGTACCAGTCCCTAATATTTTTCAGCCTCTGACTCGTTTTTACGCATTACTTCTGCTTTCTCATTTTTACTAGTACTCTTACGGTGTTAGTTCTGTCCATCCAGAAGATGCGGCATATTCTACGATACGTCCGCAACATAGCTTCTAAGTTATCTTGTTCTAATTTTAATATGTTAATTTAAATTTGTTTTACCAGCACGTGCGACTTCAATGCAGAGTTTTGATCTCTGGCGTTTAGCAACCAACAAATTAGTATCATCTGCATAGTTGGTGTCAATTGCTGGACGGCTTACTTGCTCGTTTTAAGTTTGAGGTGAAAGAACCTTTATAGGAAACGGCTGGGCTCCCAGTTATCTTAAACTTCTGGTGTACCGGCGCATAATCTTCAGGATTCCTCCTGCGTCGGTTGTCTGAGAAAATTCCACAGGCTATTTACCATTTACAAAAATTCTGGATTCGTTATACGTCGGTTGTTGTTAAATCGAAGTTACTGACGTTTCGCCAATCATCCTGTTGGCTTCTTCGGGGCTTAACTGTAACTGGCTCGCATTTTACTCTGTACCTGACTATATATATTGTTCGAGGAAAGATGACCCAAAGGAGGGACATAAACATTGTATCGGATGACTGATTCCCAAATTGATGACATGTAAAGACCTGAGTCGCGGTTAAGGCTTTTTGAGCCTAGTCCATGGTATTTCTCCGGTCTCTCCAATGTATTCTTTGCGGCACATGCATGGAATGATGTAAACTTCTGGTATCTCAAACGGAATTTTGTCCTTGACGGATCGAAGATGTTGAGAGATTTTTGAAAAAGTGGTAAATCTGGTTTTGACGTTATGTTTCTTAAAAACTTTTGATGTTTTGAATGTAAGAGTCCGAAAGCAAATCCACACTTGCCACTGTTGTCTTCCCTTTCATCCAAAACATCATTGACTACGTATCTAAAGTTCTTAAAAAATATAACGTCGGAAGCAGTATATCTGGTTTGTCCAAAAATTCTCTCAAAATTCTGTGTGAGATGCCAGTGCATATGCGGCAAATAAACTCATCAGCAGTTGCCGAACACAATCATGAAATGGCACATAAAATTTTGTTTAACAGTCGTTTATGCCCTTGCTTTAGCTCCTCTGCCCCCCCACCCAAACAATTTATAAACAGTTACAGAGTAAAATTAGAGCCAGTTTCAGGTAAGCTCTGAAGAAGCCAAGAGGCGAAACTTCAGTAAGTTCGATTCAACAACAACCAACGCAGGAGGAACCAAGAAGTTTTGTAAATAGTAAAAACAAATAATCTGTGAGGGTTCAGCATTATATATTTTATTCTCGTACTAACGTAAAATTTAATTTCAAGTAAAGGACGTCTGTTACGATTCTAGTGCAAAATATAATTTATTTTCTAAGGTTATTCCAATGGTGGTACTAGAAGGTTCATCTCTTTGCCAGTGAACTAATTAAAATGAAAAGCTTAAAATTCCTACGGGTAAACTACTAAAACTTTTTAATATGTGTACCAAATATCACTGAAATATCGTTTTCGGAAGCGATAACAGTGAAATTCCAAACAATTGTAACCATATTTTGGTCTTAAACTTGAGAATTCTTCTCGTTTCTTATTTAAAAAATTATGTAATTGTAATATATTCACGTATTGATTCACGGATGGAAAAATATGTAGAAAAAATATTCCGGGATATCATCCGTTCGCTTGTTGCAACCCTGCAGACGTTTCGTCAAGATCTGACTTGGCATCTTCAATGCTCGCGCTCCGTAATGTTTTCGGAAGGCGAGCATTGAAGATGCCAAGTGAGATCTTGGCGAAACGTCTGCAGGATTCCAGTCGGATGCAGAATTCCAGCCGGAGTTCAACAAGCGAACAGATAATATCCCGAAATATTTTTTCAACAGTGGTATGGACATTGTCTCGGATTCATGATTCCCATATTGGTGAAAGGTAAAGATCTGAGTCGCAGTTACATTCCATGCATATGTGGCAAAATAAGACATCGGAGAGACAGGACGAAAAATATCAACTAGGCTAAAACAACATGAAGGTTCTAAACACAACGAATCCATAGAAATCTATTATCTACGCCCCCTCAAACAATATATAAGCCGGTACTGAGTAAACTGCAAGCCAGTTTTAGTTAGGCTCTAAAGGAGCCCACAGGATTAAGTTTCTTAGAAAAAAAAAACAGTTTCTTATGGTATTGTGGAATAACACATTTTAGGGTTGATGGAAATTTATAAATTCATGCAATCGCCGGAGAGCGTTAACGCCACAGAAAAGCCGCTACCCAACAGGTACTGGTACCCTTTTGACCGAAACAAACACTACGTTGTCGCCTTGGTGGACCAAAGTATCAGACCGACGCTTAGTTGTTTGTGCGCGAGTGTGACGAGCGCGTCTCTGAACTCACTCGCCATATTCGTGAGGGCTCAGTTAAAACTGTTGCAATACCGTTTCCAGCACTTTCATCAGCGGGAAGAAGAAGCTTTCGCCGCTCTGAAGCGGTTGTGCGTCAGACATCAACGTTTGATAGAGTAAGTGAGCGTGGCATTTGATTTCCTCGTGCGTCCCAACCAAGAGTGGTAAGCCGGGATAATCTTGAGGGACGTCGCCAATAAGCGAAGGTCAACCTGAATTACAATATATTTTTTAATGAAAATTAAAATTAACATTGATAACTAAATTTTACGATTAGGTTTGGAAGCTTCTATGGTCATTATTTATATGCTTGCTAGCCCTTCCATAAATATAAATATAAGATATAAACGAAGTTTTAATTTTTTAGTTGCTTAATTATGTTTCACTATATGGAGGTGTTGGAATCTATGTTGTTTCTGACTTTCAATGCACAGTTATACTGGGTGAGTGCAAAGATATCATAGAGCACATCTGGTGAAAATTCAGTATGATCAAGCTGCAGCGGATTTCTTTTATATTTTGAAAATGTGTTGATTGATTTTTTTGTTGACAGAATTTTGTGTTTTGGCGGCTTTAACATTCCAGTTCCAATATAACATATTGATAATATATAATATGGATAACTAAAAATATTAAATTCATGAATAGGTTAAGAAACCAAGGATTGAATTTCGTCGCACTAGAGATTTGGGACGCTCGAATTATTACAAAAAACTTAGACACTTGACCACATCTGTCGTAAGGGATGAAAGAAAGCATATCTTAAGTTCAAATTTCAAAACTCTTCCTTTAAGCGACAATGGAAAGAATTGAAAAAACTAATATCTTGAATTTTGAATAAATACTAATCTAATTACTGCCTGTCGCCCTTTTATAATTCCCTAAATTACTTATTTGGTTAACTGCTGCGTTCAAGAATCGTATTTTCCTCAAAAACTGGAAGCTCGCAAATGTTATCCCGATACCCAAAACTAACAATCTAACTGAATTTAGCCACGATCCATCTCAATATTACCGGTACTCTGAAAAGTTATAGAGAAAGAAATGGGATCTCAAATTCTCCATATCTAACAACCAATCAGATTATCCCGTATAAACAGTCTGGATTTAGAAGAGGTTACAGCTGAGTGATGGCTTTGACTGATATTATGGATTTGTTAACAATATCTGTTCACAAAAAAGAATTTTCAAAAAGCGCTTTTCCTATCAGATTGCGTTTATAATTAATAAGTATACCCAGTCTAACGGCTCATTCAAAGTACACATGAAATGCAATTTTTGACAAATTGATAATTAGAACGGCATTTTAACGATGGTTCACTAATTAACGAAGCATTTTGTTTAAATAAAGAAACATCTTTTTTCTGTTTTCCTGAATCCCCGTCTTCAATTATTGTATTTAAAGCGAATAAAATATGTTGTAATATGTATTGTTTCTTTGTTATAAGTTTAGTTGGTTTCAAGACCCATTTTTCCTTTATATAGCTTTACATAACTTGGAATGTACATAATATTATTTGGAATAGTAAACATTGTTATTATTATTATTTTGAACGGCACAAATTTGATCGACGAGCCCGGTGAAGTTGTCCTAAGTTGAACAAAATTTTACAAATATTGGAAATATTTACCGAATGGCACAAAAACGTAACTGTCCCTATATGCAAGGAAGGACAGAAATTAATACCCAGACAACTATGAGACCCTAACGCTCTTGAATGCAGTAACGAAACTCCTCACTGGCATCTTGGAAGTCTTGAAACACAAATAATTAACGATCTCTGATCGAAATAGAATTTAATTCACCAGCGTAATTATGCTTCATTTTTATGAGCAAGGCATTTGACAGGGTTCTTCTTGCTCTGCCGATGATACGTACTATCTCCAGAAACAGCTACACAAGTTTTACGAAACAAATATCCATAGAAAACACTGAAAGCATAACATTGCTAAAGAGCTATCGAGCAAGTGTCAGATATCTCCATACGGATCTGTCGAACAGTCCTGACACAACGAAGAACCTGGTAGGCCAGATCAACAAAGCAACTAACAAGATGGGCTGCTTAAGCACATAGTATGAATATGCATAGGGACAGCAAAGTTAAAATCTATAATACTTGTCCCCCAGGCCGATCACGAACGTACGAAACGAAAAGAATGTTGCGGGGTGCAGAATTGAGGAGTCTCCTGGCTATAATGAGAAAGAAAGACTGATATTAGGCAACAATGTGTTGTGGAAGAGTTCGTAAGATGAAGAGCGCACTCACGTAAAAAGGATGAACTTCGAGGGAAACCAAACCAAACATCCATGCAAAACACCTCTCAGGAAATGATACAGAGGAATAAAAGAGATCAAGGGAAATAAGAATAAGAAGGCAGCTTCTTGGATTTGTAAGATATTTTTTTTCTCGTCTTGATAGTTGAGAACTTCACAGGGCTACACTGCTATTCCACGGCAATGTGGAAAAAGCAAATCATTAGATTTGGCAAGCGAAAAATGACGTCCTTCCATGGCTTACCGTTCTTGAATCTCAGGTGTTTTGGGGTGAAAATCTGATTTTAGATGCACCGTCGAGTTCAGCGAATCGCTCAAATACATAGTGATGATAGATTATACAGTTTGCTCGGCTACATTCGCGCTGGTGATCCTCCAGATCACAGCGGTAAGTAATCGTTACCCTATATGATTAACGTTTGAGTTCTTTATTTTAGGGCGAAGACGTAATAACTAGTCTGGCCGTATTATCTTTCATCACGCTTCAATTGATCGCGTTTTCCTGGAACTGTAACGAAATCATACTGCAGGTGATTGTTATCGATCACCGTAGCAGGATTTTCAAGACGTCTCGACATTTTCAGAGCAAGGAAATGACGAACGCACTGTTCGAAAGTCACTGGTACGATCAGGATCAGGCTACGAAAGTGCTGGTCCACATAATGATGATGCGATGTCAGAGGCCTCTGAGCGTGCACATCGGTTGGATGGGGGTGATGGATCTGGAAGCCGGAATGTCGGTGAGTATCGATGGAAAACGTGAAAACGAGAGGAAAGTTTCAACTTTTCAGAGGCTGAAGCTGGGTTATTCCTACACCTCTATCATGAAGAACTAATTCTAGTGTCATTCGGCTGTAAACAAACAAATATACTGCGGATATTGAGGGTGGACAATTATATATATTCCAATAGTAAACAATTAACATACTGCCGTTTGAAATTTAGAATTTTTTAAAACAGCAGGTACTCCATCAATGTAGAAGAATTGCCTCGTTTTCCTCCATCTATCCATTGGAGTACTTTATTTTTCGAAACCCTCTCTTCCCAGGATATCCTTCGTCCAGGGAATCTTGAAAAAAAAAAAACACCCCTTTTGTCTGCTCTCTGTTCTCCTAAGTCTGTTCTCTATAATGGACACCTGAAAGTTTTCGAAACGCGATAACATTCAAAAGTTTGGAAGAACGAGATCAAATTTTCAACCGTTCTAATACTGGGCGATGCGCAGTGGCATTCAAAATATGGGGGCGATTCGACATCCGCACTCAATTTTTTCGCGGAAAATCACAGTGAAACGACGTGTCGGAAATTTCGAGTAGCTAGATGGAACCTATTTAGGATAGGCTGGATTGAAACTTCCGAAGTATTTTGCTTTAAATTTTTGAATTTTTTTTTTCGCTACCGAAAAAACGCAATTTTCCAGAATATGGAGGAGGTTTGGAGAAATCACTTGGAATTATACCTTTGCTACTGCCGTTTAAATTGTAACGGTGTGGCTTGTCTGCTTAAATTGTGTAAATTATTGCATCTAGAGTTTTTTACACAAACTAACCAAAACTAACGAAAACTATTTCCTGACGTTTTCGTTTCGGTTCGCTATATTAAAACTCCTTCACATGAACAACATAAGTTTCGTTAAAATTTGTTTTAATCGAGATTATTCTTTGCGAAGTAGTGGTTGTCTGATAATGCGGATATCAAGTACAACCAGGCAGCCAATCTTACCCATAGATTGCTGTACTTACAGGTTTCGGAGACACTAGTGTGACGAATGTAAGTGCTCGTTTTCTCTAAAACCCACAAAGATGTACCAAGTCTTTCGCCACTTCCATGAAATCGTTTTAAAATCAATGCATTTTCCTTTTTCATACACGTTCAACAAAATACAACAACAAAACTAATTACCAGCAATTGTGCATATAGCACATGCAAATGATACAACATGAACCTTTTCATATTACTACATTGCTCTTTATTTCAACTTGGGTGGTTCTATATTCATTTTCTTCTTTCTGGTTAGAGTCCTTCAGATCACAGCCCTCTTCATGCATACTTTCAAAACAAATCCGTTACCGTATCATTAGGGACATACGTTTTGCATTACGATCAATTGGGGTCGTCTCGGAACAAAACCAGCAGGTTGTATCGGTGACAAGTGAGATACAACCACAACTTCCTCCATCCTCGCAATTTTCGGGTCATAGTGTTCGACCATCGCCGCCATCTGGATTGCAACTAAATAAACTGCTTAAAAAATAAGAGAGTTAGGAAATTTTTATGATAATGCTTATGTTTAGCAACGAGGCGGCCCTAACCTCTATCAATTTATTATGGGAATAGCAACGGTACCGAAAAACCGTTGCTCTACCAGTACTAGTACCTTTTCGACAGGAGACATAAGACCTACGCTCAGTGGTTATTGTCCGGGTGTCACGCTTGCATTTCTCGACTCTCTGGCGATATTCGTTAGAGTTCAGTTGAAGGTGTTGGAGCACTACTCCAAGGAGGAAGATGAGAAAACCCACGACAGCCTGAAGTTGTTGTGAGATACAGTGAGTAGTAGAATCAACTTGTTATCTTAAGATCTCCAACAGGTCAAATACAACATTCCGTTTAAGATGCCAGGAGTTTGCAGCATCCCATGTATATCCACTAGGCTTAAAGAAATGAAAGAGCCTAAAGACTACGACGAATAAACTCATAGTTGCCGAACACAATCACGAAACCGGACATCAAATTTTTTTTGATAAAACTAAATTTCTTGCATGTACCTAATCAATTCTTCTATCAACGAAAAATCCGAGAATCAATGGAAATCTATAAGCAACCAAATTATCTTAATTACCACTCACGGTATGGGAGTCCGCGCGACGAAGTAAAAAAATAATGAAGAAATTAAATCTGCTCATAAATGAACGCAAACGTCATTATCTTTTTTAAAGAATAAACAATTTTTTTTGCGTCTATTATTTTTACGAAAATAATGCTTTTCTTTAGGCAATGACTTTCGAATAGCCACTTTAATAGCAATTTCAATTATGTAACATAGTGCGGGTCACTGACTTACCGATTTGGCTTAATTGGCAGATACAATTAAAAACTGAGTATAAGATTTAAAGTATTGAGCTTGGCTCTACATTGTCTGAAGGCAAAAGCAGGACTTTTGTTATTGGATGTCACATTTTAATAGGTCAACCTTTCCCTTCTTGGTGTACATTGTACAAAATAGACTCAACAAAAATCGAACTTAATAAAATAAATAGAAAATAGTCGAAGCCCTAAAAAATACCTTTAAAATTTAAGGACCTTATTTACAAGATTCTTAAATTATGAATGTTCCCAAACGGCAAGTACTGTATTATATCATAGAAATCCAATAATATACAGGGTGTCTCATTTAAAAAAAGAATTATTTTACCGTTCTTCATTATGAAGCAACTAAATTCAAAAACTACCAAGGTTAAAAGAAAATTCCACCTTCTCATAATGAAATTATTATTTTTCGTGCCAATGTCTCATGAATTTAACCGAAAAAATATAACGATTTAAAAATTTAAACAGCAAGGTCATTTGCAATATTTTCATTTCCAGCATTACAGCTTTGCTATACCAAAAGGACTATTATTTTATTATTTGCAATTCGATTCTATCAGGACAAACTCACTTTTAGGTTGTGTTATGTTCCATTTTGTTTACCGGCTTTTAATAATTTTATGTAAGTTTAATATTTTGTTTTCATGTTTTAAATTTTCAAGTAAAAGGTCTAGGTTGACAGGCGATTTTACTAGTACTAGTAGTTTTCAGCAGTAGAACCTAGCTTATGTTGCCTTGGACGCATATAATAAAACATACAATTACCAAACCGAGGGGAATATTTTTTTTTATTTTTCAGAACAGAATATAGATGAACCAGATATTCTAGTATATCTGACATAAGATCAAATAAATGATATATGTCAAAATATTGGAGACAAAATGAAGTTACCAATAAATAAAAAAAACAGACAAACAAAAACAAATAAATTAATGAAAATAAACTTATATAAACAATTATAATGAAAATTATACCATATCGTTACTCTCATCATTTGTTGTATTCTTGTATGTATATCTTATTAAAACAAATTAAGTTTGTATTTGTAAATTATTACAGATTTATTAGAAAATTTATCTCAACAAACTTTTGAAACGTAACTTTGTAGGTAGGTGTATATTCCCCAAAACGATAGTTTAAATATCTTATCAACACGATAGGAACATGTATCACTTTTTAAACATGTGTAACTATATTTTATTTCAGAATTTGTTGCATTTAAGTTCCCGAATCTTCTTCCATGAGAGAATATTTAAATTTAAATTTTTAAATAAATTTCAAAGGACACAATATAATTTTAGGAATCATTCTAAGGGAATTTGCCCCAAGAGCGCATAGATTTTGAAGCAACTATTTGCTAGTGTTATTAGAAAAATCTTAAGTTTTAAGTGAATAATACCTGACCTTAAACCAATTTTTAATGATCTTGAGCCAAATTAATTATGAAGTTATGAAAAAAGTGAAAGGCTTGCTTTAAATTTATATAACTTTAGCTGCGAAAATTCGATCATTCATTGGATATTGTGACAAAACTGTAAGTTAATGCCTCAATTTCATATACTTCTAGGCCAAAGATGATGGACCACTTGCCCCAATTTTGTTTTTGTATTGGATCAAAACCTTTTCATTTCAAATGCATAACGTCAAATTTCTTCATATCTTCATAATTAACCATTAAATCGAACTTTTTCCAATCACTTTATAATAATGTGATGAAATTTACGAAGTAGTTTTGTGATAGTCCCTATTGCCAAAACTCTTTAACCATACAGTACTTACATGCACTAGCGTCCAAACGGTGTTTCCCGATTCCCAAAGGAACTAGCCACATTTCGCGATATCGTGAATAATTGCAGTCCCTATGATTACGGGCTTCTTTGTACATATATTAAAATCAAATGTGAGTTTTTCCCTTAAACGTATTATTAGGGATACCGTTTTTTAACTATGCAGCAAAGCAGACACAAGCGTATCAATGTTTCTGTCCGTTTTGACAAAATAGGCTAAAAGAACTTGCGTATCACCAACCGTCCTTGTACAGGTCGTTTGTTTGTAATTTTCGAAATACGATGAAAATAAACTTAATAAATATTTAATATAAATATAAAAGTCACATCCGCGTGACATTAATTTGCAAACAAATGAATAAGAGCAATTTCTCCTAAAATAATTTAAAATGAAATAGATGATATTTAAAATAATGTTTTTTTGCAGAATATAAACACCTTTTACAATTATTAGTGTGTCGAACTCTCGGACACCCTGTTAAAAAAAATACCGAAACGCCGCTGAACAACCCCCGTCATTCGCGACCGCTGCTACATAAAGGCGGTCGCTTTCGCACTTGCTCAAACATGAAGGTGGGCAACTATTTCACGCACGTCAGGAGGTTGCTGATGGTGGTCGGGATCTGGAAAGTGGAAAGTTCCGACATCTTGTTTTTCGGGAAACGAATCTACCAGGTCTACTCGCTTTTCTTCCAATTATTCTGCTATTCGGCGGCTCTGTCGTTGCTTATCGAAATACCTTCGTTGGTGAAAACTGACGTGGCGGCTGGTGAGGATATCAGCAGTAAAAAAATTTGCCCATCGGCAAAGCTTTCAGTTGCAGCGATGGACAACGCAAACAGATTCACCGTGTACATCGTCATCATAATTAAAATGATTGCTTGGCAGACCAGAAGGATGGTAGACCTGCTCAGAGTACTCTTGGACCAAAACCAGGAGATGCAGGAGGCCTCTCGCGTCGACCTACACATACGTCGATTGTATAGAAAACACGCGAGGTACAATCACAAGCTCATGTTCGTCCTCGTCAGCTCTGGGACGGCCATAGCGATCAGCATCGCTGCAGTAGGTAAGTTTTCCGTGTGAAAGATGGAAGTATCTAGGAATTATTTTGCAAAAATATGTTTGCATAAAGTTCAAGCCAAAAAATTACTAAAAGCAGGAAATTAGGCTATTAATTTCACTTGAAAAAAGTAGAATTCCATGTGGTAATACATATTTCATCAGTATTGGTGGAAAACCTCATAAGAAAATTCCAGATAGATCAGTGAAACACCAAAAGTGCATTTTTTGTTTATGTATTACTGGGCCTTGTGCGCTGTCGATGTCAGTTAAGACCTTAACTTTTATTCTATTTTTATATTTAAAAGAAACTTCCACAGGCTTCTGTAATAGTTTTTATAAAACTTCTGGCGTCGGTTTTTATTGACTCGAACTAGCTAACGTTTCCTCAATCATCCTGTTGGCTTCTTCAGAACTTGACTGGGACTGGAGAACTTAAGAAGCCAACAGAATGACTGGTGAAACGTTAGCTAGTTCGAGTCAACAAAAACCGACGCAGGAGAAATCCAGAACTTTTATGAAAAGTATTGAATCAAAATATTCTTAGAAGCCATTTGGCATTTAAAAAAATGGTGACTTTACATTGTGTCGTTTGAGACATTCTTTTATAAATCCTGTAAACACGATATTAACACCAGTTTTATTATTTTATATCGTGTTATAACAAAGTTTTTAAATTTGCTTAATGTCTAAAATAAAAAATTATTATACATTGCAAATGACATATAATTTTATGAAAAATTGTGTGTGGCGGACAATTTGAATCCAACTAAACTAACCAAAACCGGCAAACAATCGGGAAATGTTTTTGATGTCCGTTATTATCTTTATGTCAATTAATTTTTAAAAAAATAGCTGAATGAAATTTGAAAGCGTTGAAATTTTAAAATATTTGAAACGCTGTCTTCTGTTCCTCAGAATACATTATTCCTGCGAATCATATATTGAAACTAACTAACCAAAATTAACCCAAAACAATTCAGTAATTATTTACATTTAGATGCCCATCATGAAACCGTTCGTTCGTAAAAATTCTGAGCCCAAGTTCACCGACAGGCCAACTACTTTTCCTACCACTCGCAACATAAACTAGGAACCAGCGAGAATAACGAATAATATAAGGTAATTCTGATTCTACATGAGTAAAACAGATTAGTATATATCTTACCCCGAAACATTTTGACCTGTATTTTAATTTGTTTTGTCTACAAATTGAATTTTCTCCATTACTTAGTTTCCTTTTAGAGAAACGTTTTATAGACTTGAGATATTTTTTTCGTGTCGAAAAGGAATTATTTTAAAAAGTAAAAATATTGACACGATTATAAAAATACTTAATTCACATTAAAAAAAATTTTTTTGGCAGTTTTTTTAATTTCATTTGTAACATTATTTTTTGCGTACCCTGTATTAATATTTATCGAAATTTCTTATGAAATTCGTTATTCGAGTCTTTTGTCTACAACAAAACATACTCAAGTGAAACAATAAATGCTTCCGAATTAAGAAATTGCCAGATATTTTAAGTATTACAAACGCAATTTTTCGCATAAAAAATTAAAAATATACAAAACGTTTATGCGTAGGTATAAGTTGATACTTGCCCACGGAAAATGAAACTCTCTGTATACACAACATTCAAATAAATTGAAGATTTGTAATACCCCAACTAATTTTTGTGTATAACATTTGCTTGATCTCCTATAGAAACAAGATATTCAGAAAAATTAAAGATCGAATCTTAATACACCAATGCCTAAACACCACCCTTACATTAAAAAGTCCATTTGTTGAGATCAAACAATATTCAAATGCTCTCTTAAAAGCAAATTGCTACTCTTTGTCTATTACAAAATTTAAGATTTCCTTTCTTGTGATACCTTTTAAAACGTATTCGTTGTTTGTTATTGACTATATATTTGGTATTTATATGTTTTTAATTAATTAACTATATTACGTGATTTTATATTATTTATATTTGCATTATAATGACAATATGCAACACTTGTAACTCAAGTCTTATGGAAAAAGCTATCTTTATATTTAGCCTTATGTTTCTTGATTTTTGATTCATTGAAAATCGCTATTATTTGTACACATTCTTATATTTACCAAAGCGTGCTTAATTGCAAGACACTCATTTTCCGAAATTTTCATATTGGTCCGCAAGAGGAATCATCAAATTGCCTCTTCACCCATTGCATCTTAGATTAATATCCTTTTCCCTTATATTTAATAATAGTCAATAACCTTCATATTTTAAGGACCTTTTGAATTATGAAATGAAATTAAAATATCCTACATTCATGTCGGTTTAATGACACTTTTGACCACAACATTATTACTAGTTCGCTACACAAGGAACCGTTCTCCAAGACAGTTTATCGCGAATACAAACATCGTTCCCGATTCCCGATATATATAATCAATAATTGTAGTCCTTGTGATTACAGATCTCTTTGTACATACATTAAAAGGGAATTTGAGGTTTTCACTTAACGTATTATTACGGAAAAAGTTCTGCGATGCGGCAACACGCATTGGCGTCGCAAAATCTTTTTTCAGCGTCTTATTTCAATCATGTCACATTTAGACTTTGTAAAAAAATGGATTCCAATCTGAAACTTTTTCCCCGAATTGACGAGGCGTTAACTTATGGCTTTTCTTTATTTAAACCTCCAAACTTGATATTTAATTAATACGATTTATGTTTATTTGTATAATAAGTTTAACTTCCAAAAGGGCCCTTCGACTTATGTTCCAAGTAGAACTCTGATACTTTGGTGGATACTCCTATGGATGCTTAGAAAATTGAAAAATGGATTCCAATCTTAAATTTTTATCTTGAATTGACGCGGCATTAGTTTAAAAATTATCTTTATATAAAGCCCCTAACTGGATGGATCTTTATGTAACACGATTTACGTCCGTCCAACTAATTTAGTCTTCATTAAGTTTCAAAGTTTCTTGCTTTTTGAATAATAAAGACGCGACTACAGCAATACCAGATATCCCTTGGCTATGATGAAATTTTCAGTTTGTTGACTATAACTCGGACAACTTGTATATAGTGAAATAAACTATATTTTTGGGATATTTCCCCTCAACTTGCGCATCTTCTAGTATAAGATTTTTTTCATTCGGATATGGCGTTATTATATTGTTTACATTTATATACATTTTTTTAAATGTTTCGAAAATTCCGATCCCGTCCAGTTTTAATAGGTTTAATCTGGTAAAGGAACTCTAAGTTTCAGCTGAATTTTAACTCGAAATCTCCTACCTGCCTTACTAGCTATTTTCCTAGCAAAAACCATTAATACCCGACAAAATAGCGACCCATTTCTGATGGGCTCTGTATTGTGCCTGCCGCTGCGCATCATCTAGTATTAGTGTGGAGGACAATTTGAATCTCCTACTTCCAACCGTTCGAATATTATCCGGCTTCAAAAACTTAATGAAGGTCAGTTACGAAGAACAGACAAGGAAAAACAGAGAACAGAAAAAAATAAATCACGGTGAGCGAAGATTCTTTCACGGAATTGGATTTCATCGGTTTTGTGAAAGTAAGATGACCGTGTGCTGCATTCAGTTGAAACTTATCCTGAAAGTAAGGTTAATTATGCACGAAATTTTAATGGAGCGGATATTTCCTAATCAGTATCTCCTATTAAAAATATGGTCCCCTCTAATCATTTTAAGAATGAAGCTTTATCTGGACGTGAAGGCCTTATCAATATTTTTATTGAACATTACTTTTTATACGAGAATCCTCAGTTGATGATAGACTGCACATTTGAAAACAACTCTCATTTCCTTCCACAAAAGCTTAAGAGCTTGGATTGCTAATTCGTTATTTTATTGGAAGTTAGGGAAAGAATGTGGTTGCTTGAAGGAAAACTGCCCTGGCGTCATTATGTACCTGTTACTTCTGCTTTCTCATGTTTACTAGTACTCTTACGTTGTTAGCTTTCTCCATCCATCATTTTAATATGTATTATTTTAAATTTGTAATGGCAGCACGTGTCACTTCAATGCAAATTTTTTATCTCTGGCATTTAGCAACCAACAAATTAGTATCATCTGCATTGTTGGTGTCAATTGCTGAACGGCTTACCTGCTCGTTTTAATTTTGGGGTGAAAGAATCTTTATAGGGCGCGGCTGGGCTCCCAGAGCGTTTGATTTAAACCCAGTGGATTTTTTATTCTGGTGATAACTTAAACTTCTGGTGTAAAGGTGCATAATCTTTTAGATTCCTCCTGCGTCAGTTGTCTGAGAAGGCTACTGCAATACTATTTACAAAAATTCTTGATTCCTTATGTGTCGGTTGTTGTTAAATCGAAGTTGTTGACGTTTCGCCAATCATCCTGTTGACTTCTTCGAGGTTAACTGTAACTGGTTCGCATTTTACTCTGTATCTGATAATATATATTGTTTGAGGAGAGATGACCCAAAGAAGGGACATAAACATTGTTTCGGATGACTGATTCCCAAATTGATGACATGTAAAGACCTGAGTCGCGGTTAAGGTTTTTTGAGCCTAGTTCATATTTTTTCTCCCGTCTCTCCAATGTATTCTTTGCGGTACATGCAAGAAATGCTGTAAACAGAATTTTGCCTTTAACGGATCGAAGTGTTCGAAGATTTGCCTTCTCTATTGCTTTCTTTTCGAAGTAAATCATGAAGAGTTTGGCAATCACAGGTGAGAGAGATGATCCCATTGCTGCTCCATCTATTTGTTGGTAAATTTTCCCGTTGTACATAAAGTAAGAGTTTTTCAGGCAATGTCTTGACAGATCCATTATGTATGGCGGAAGATCTTCGTTTTCTTCTATAAGCAAGAGTGCCTCTTCTACTGGAATACTCGGGTAGAGGGATTTGACATCGAAACTTGCCATAATGTCGTCCTTGTCCATCCTGAGAGAACCTAAAATCTGAGTGAAATGTTCTGAGTTTTTAACATAGGAATCTGCCTTTTCCACTATAGGCTGAAGTGCACTGGCCAGATGTTTTTCCAGCTTGCATAATGGTGAGTTAAAGGCGCTTACGATTGGACGCAGGGGAACCTCGTCCTTATGGATCTTGGGGAGCCCGTAGAATTTTGGGCAACGACTCGATTTTTCCCTCGGAATAAGTTTCTTCTTTGTATCCTCGTTTATTGATGAATCGAGAATTTTGGACTTAGTTGTTTTTTCCAAATATGTCGTGGGATCTCTGGTGACTAGTTTGTATATTGGGTCGTTCAAAATATCCTCCAATTTTGCATTATAATCCGACGTATTCATGACGACAGTGGCATTTCCTTTGTCTGCTGGCATTATTAGAATGTTTTCGTTTTTGTTTAGATTCCTTAAGGCTTGCATTTCTTCTCTGCTTAAGTTTGGTTGCGGTGGTTTTGACTGTCTTAAGACTCTGGCGACATCTTGCCTAATTAACTCCGCATCTTGTTCGTCTATGGTGGAAAGACTTGCTTCGACGTTGGAAACGATCTCTTCGACGGGTACTCTTTTTGGAGCTATTGCATAGTTAAATCCTTTATTCAGTGCGCTGACTTCTGTATCGGAAAGATGGTATGCTGAAATATTATGAACTGTACTGCTTCGGTTTGTATTTGGCATTTGTCCTGATTTTTTGGAATTTGACTGAAGGATTTCTAATTTCTTCCACAGTTTTTTTGACGTGATGTCCTTGTCTTTCTCAGTGCGCCATGATGTTAATAATTCTATGCGGTCCCACAGCAACTGATGGATCTTGTTGCTCAGTTTCAGGTGGAGTCTGAAAAGTTGTAGCTCAGTCTCACTAATTTCGTACCGGGTCCGCCTGATCTGGTCTTGGAGTAGGGCCTTGCTAGCTTTGTCCAGGATAGCTTGTGTCTTTCTGGTGCGTGTGTGATAAGACAACCTTGTAAATGTTGGCAGCAAGTTCTGGTTGCGGCAGCTTTTAAGAAAATTCAAGTTGCACAGCGAAATAACCCTCCTTTGTCTTAGTTTTTCATAACACTTGGTGGCTGTAAAGGTCTCCTTGCCGTAAAGGTGTATGATATTCTCACGTATTGATTCACGGATGGAAAAATGTGATGACACTATATTCCGGGATATCATCCGTTCGCTCGTTGAACTCCGACTGGAATCCTGCAAATCCTGCATCCGACTCGAATCCTGCAGACGTTTCGCCAAAATCTCACTTGGCATCTTCAATGCTCGCGCTCCGAAAACACTTCGAACACTGGGAGGTTATCGGCGGTGCGTGCGGTATTTATACTCTGCGCCGGAGATGGTAACGGTGCTGCTTGTGCGTGGGGGGAGGTGGCTAAGCCCCCTGAATTGTCGCGTTGTCAATTTCGCCCGATCGTAGTTGCGATGTCCCCGTTGGCTGCTGCGCATCGCTCTGCTGTTTGATTATCGTTCTCTACGTGTTGGATAAATGCAGAGCGTCGTCTCTCGTATTGAGGTGTCCGGACTTTTCTATTTCGATGGCCTCTCGTATAATCCTAGTCCTAAAATCAGGAATATTAGCTATTTGTTTGCAAGTGCCGAAATCAATTTTATGGCCTGTATGATGTTGGTGCTGAAACAAAGCAGATGTTGTTTGTTTGTTTCTTATGGCTAAACGATGTTCCTCGAGCCTGGCTGAAATCCTTCTGTTGGTCTGTCCCACATACGTCAGGCTGCACGATCCGCATGCTACACTGTATACTCCTTGGTTTTCCAGAGTAATTTTTTGTTTTGGGTTTCTTAGTATTGCTCCGATGGTATGGTCAGATTTGTATGCCGTTGATATGTCGTGTTTCCGTAATATTCGGCCGATTTTCTCAGTAACCCCCTTGATGTATGGCAGGACAGCGATCGATCTTCGTTGGGTCTCGTCCTGCACACTCTGCTGCGGCTGTTGTTGTTTACTGATTGCCTTGCTGATGGTGCGCCTTTGGTATCCGTTTTGTCGAAGACAGGTACTAATTTTCTTCAGTTCTTTATCTCTGTTCCTCTCGTTTGTGAACCTGAAGGACCGAGCAATTAATGTATTTGCCACTGCCTGTATCTGTGATGGGTGGTGATGAGATTTAGCGTTCAGATATCTATTAGTGTGTGTTGGTTTTCTATAGACAGTGTGTTCCAAGTGTCCATCTTCGGTCCTTGTGATGTGCACATCTAAAAAGGGCAGACTGTTATCCTCTTCAAGTTCTATTGTGAATTGAATCCTTGGGTGAATGGAATTCAGATGATCTATGAATTTCAAAAGCTCCTCCTTGCCAAAAGGCCATACAACAAATACGTCATCAACGTATCTTGTCCATAGTTTTGGCTTCAGATTTGCCTTCTCTATTGCTTTCTTTTCGAAGTAAATCATGAAGAGGTTGGCAATCACAGGTGAGAGAGATGATCCCATTGCTGCTCCATCTATTTGTCGATAAATTTTCCCGTTGTACATAAAGTAAGAGTTTTTCAGGCAATGTCTTGACAGATCCATTATGTATGGCGGAAGATCTTCGTTTTCTTCTATAAGCAAGAGTGCCTCTTCTACTGGAATACTCGGGTAGAGGGATTTGACATCGAAACTTGCCATAATGTTGTCCTTGTCCATCCTGAGAGAACCTAAAATCTGAGTGAAATATTCTGAGTTTTTAACATAGGAATCTGCCTTTTCCACTATAGGCTGAAGTGCACTGGCCAGATGTTTTTCCAGCTTGCATAATGGTGAGTTAAAGGCGATTACGATTGGACGCAGGGGAACCCCGTCCTTATGGATCTTCGGGAGCCCGTAGAATTTTGGGCAACGACTCGATTTTTCCCTCGGAATAAGTTTCTTCTTTATATCCTCGTTTATGAATGAATCGAGAATTTTAGACTTAGTTGTTTTTTCCAAATATGTCGTGGGATCTCTGGTGACCAGTTTGTATATTGGGTCGTTCAAAATATCCTCCAATTTTGCATTATAATCCGACGTATTCATGACGACAGTGGCATTTCCTTTGTCTGCTGGCATTATTAGAATGTTTTCGTTTTTGTTTAGATTCCTTAAGGCTTGCATTTCTTCTCTGCTTAAATGTTCGAAGTGTTTTCGGAGCGCGAGCATTGAAGATGCCAAGTGAGATTTTGGCGAAACGTCTGCAGGATTCCAGTCGGAGTTCAACAAGCGAACGGATGATATCCCGGAATATAGTGTCAGCATATATATATATATATATATATATATATATATATATATATATATATATATATATATATATATATATATATATATATATATATATATATATATATATATATATATATATATATATATATATATATATATATATATATATATATATATATATATATATATATAATATGTTTTGTTTTAGTCCTTCACGGATGGAACTATGTGTATTGGTGGTAATCCGGGTGTTCATCCGTTCGTTGTTTGACCCTGGAGTAGGATTATTCGCCTGACGTTTCGCCAAAATATCACTTGGCATATTCAGAGGCCGCGCTTCCATGTCACAGTGTTCGAAGTGTTTTCAGAGCGAGAGCATTGAAGATGCTAAGTGAGATTTTGGCGAAACGTCTGCAGGATTCGAGTCGGATGCAGGATTCCAGTCGGAGTTCAACAAGCAAACGGATGATATCCAGGAATATAGTCTCATCACATTTTTCCATCCGTGAATCAATGCGTTAAAATAATATATATATATATATATATATATATATATATATATATATATATATATATATATATATATATATATATATATATATATATATATATATATATATATATGGATGGATTCTCAAATTTTTCTTTGGTAGAAGAATTGACTTTATATATTATAGAGACAGGAATAAAAATATCAAGTAGGCTAAAACAGCATGAAAGGTTCTAAACACAACGACAAATAAACACATCAAATCTTTTTCGATAAAGAAAAATCTGAGAATCCATAGAAATCTACGCTTCCCTCGAGCAATATATAAGCAGGTACAGAGTAAAATGCGAGCCAGTTTTAGTTAAACTCTAAAGGAGCCAACAGGATTAAGTTTATCCCAAAAAAAACAGACAGATTGATATGGTATTGTGGAATAACACATTTTAGGGTTTATGGAAATTTATAAATTCATGCAATCGCCGGAAAGCGTTAACGCCACAGAAAAGCCGCTACCCAACAGGTACTGGTATCCTTTTGACCGAAACAAAAACTACGTTGTCGCCTTGGTGGACCAAAGCATCAGACCGACGCTCAGTTGTTTGTGCGCGGGTGTGACGAGCGCGTCTCTGAACTCACTCGCCATATTCGTGAGGGCTCAGTTAAAACTGTTGCAATACCGTTTCCATCACTTTCATCAGCGGGAAGAAGAAGCATTCGCCGCCCTGAAGCGGTTGTGCGTCAAACATCAACGCGGCATTTGATTATCTCGTGCGTTCTAACCAATAGCGGTAAGCTGGGATAATATTTAGGGACGTCGCCAATAAGCGAAGGTCACCCTGAATTATAATATTTTTTTTAATAATTAATTAACATTTTTTTTAAATCAAAATAAACATTGATACCTAAATTTTACGATTTAGGGTTGGAAACGGCTATGGTTATTTTTCATTTTTTAGTTGATTAATTATGTTTCACTATATGGAGATCTTGGAATCTATTTTCTATATAGACTAAAACTAACTAAAAATATTAAATTCATGAATAGGTTAAGAAAAAAAAGCATTGAATACATTTCGTCGCACTAGAGATTTGGGACGCTCGAATTATTACAAACAACTTAGACACTTGGCCACATCTGTCGTAAGGGATGAAAGAAAGCATATCTTAACTTCAAATTTCAAAAATCTTCCTTTGAGCGACAATGGAAAGAATTGAAAAAACTAATATCTTGAATTTTGAAGAAATACTAATCTAATTACTGGCTGTTGCCCTTTTATAATTCTCTAAATTACTTATTTAGTTAACTGCTGTGTTCAAGAATCGTACTTTCCCCAAAAACTGGAAGCTCGCAAATGTTATCCCCATACCCAAAGCTAACAATCCAACTGAATTTAGCCACGATACATCTCAATATTACCGGTACTCTCAAAAGTTATAGAGAAAGAAATTGGATCTCAAATTCTCCATATCTAACAACCAATCAGGTTATCTCATATAGACGGTCGGGATTTAGAAGAGGTTATAGCTGTGTGATGGCTTTGACTGATATTATGGATTTGTTAACTATACCTGTTCATAAAAAATAATTTTTCAAAAAGCGCTTTTCCTATCAGATTGCGTTTATAAGTAATAAATATACCCAATCCATCGGCTCATTCAAAATACACGTGATATTTAAATGATGCTTCACTAATTAACTAAGCATTTTGCTTAAATAAAGAAACATCTTTTTTTCTATTTTCCTGAATCCCTGTCTTTAATTATTGTATTTAAAGCTAATATGAAATGTTGTAATATGTATTATTTCTTTGTTATAAGTTTAGTTGGTTTCAACGGTATCTTCCTTTGGGAAGGAAGCTGCGCCAATTTCTCCTTTGCATAGCTTCACATAACTTGGAATGTACATACTATTATTTGGAATAGTAAACATTATTATTATTATCATTATTATTATTTTCAACGGCACAGATTTGATCGACGAGCCCGGTGAAGTTGGCCTAAGTACACAACTTCAGTTAAACAAAATTTTACAAACATTGGAAATATTTACGTAATGGCGCAAAAACGTAATTGCCCTTATATGCAAGGAAGGATAGAAATCAATACTCTGTCAACTATTAGACTCTAACGCTCTTTAATACAATAATGAAACTACTCAATTCATTCATTGATCTGAACAAGGCATTCGACAGGGTTCTTCTTTCGCATGTCATAACACAGGATGATGTACTATGCCGATGATACTATTTCCAGAGACAGCTACACAAGTTTTACGAAATAAATATCCATAGAAAACACTAAAAGCGTATTAGTGCTAAAGCATAACATTGCAAAGAACAAGTTTTAGGTATATGCGTAAGGATCTGTCGAACCGTCCTGACCCAGCGAAGAACCTCGAAGGTCAGATCAACAAAGCAAAGCGTGATGGGCTGTTTAAGGCACATAGTATGAATATGCATAGAGACAGCAAATTTAAAATCTATAAGACCTGCCCCAGGCCGATCACGTCGTACGGAGAAGAGATCAACGAAATGAAAAGAATGTTTCGAGGAGCCGAAATGAGGAGTCTCCTGACTATAATGGACAAAAGAAGAATTTACCGAACCAGAAAGACTGATATTAGGCAACAATGTGTTGTGTAAGACTTCGTAAGATGAAGAGGGTAATGGTACTTTCACGTAAAAAGGATGAACTTCAAGGGAAACCAAACGAAGGATCTATACAAAATACGTCTGAGGAAATGATACAGAGGAATCCAAGAGATCAACGGAAATAAAAATAAGAAGAAACAGCATCTTTGATTTGTAAGATATTTTTTTTATCGTTTTGATAGTTGCACGGCAATGTGGAAAAAGCAAATCATTAGATCTGGCAAGCAAAAAGTGACGTCCTCCCCTGGCTTACCGTTCTTGAATCTCAGGTGTTTTGGGGTGAAAAACTGATTTTAGATGCACCGTCGAGTTCAGCGAATCGCTCAAATACATAGTGATGCTAGATTATACAGTTTGCTCGGCTACATTCGCGCTGGTGATCCTCCAGATCGCAACGGTAAGTTATCGTTACCCTACATGATTTGCGTTTGAGTCCTTTATTTCAGGGCGAAGACGTAATAACTAGTTTGGCCGTATTATCATTCATCACGCTTCAATTGATCGCGTTTTCCTGGAACTGTAACGAAATCATACTGCAGGTGATTGTGATCGATCGCCGTAGCAGGATTTTCAAGACGTCTCGACATTTTCAGAGCAAGGAATTGACGAACGCGCTGTTCGAAAGTCACTGGTACGATCAGGATCAGGCTACCAAAGTGTTGGTCCACATAATGATGATGCGGTGTCAGAGGCCTCTGAGCGTGCACATTGGTTGGATGGGGGTGATGGATCTGGAAGCCGGAATGTCGGTGAGTATCGATGGAAAATGTGAAAACGAGAGGAAAGTTTCAACGTTTCAGAGGCTGAAGCTGGGTTATTCCTACACCTCTATCATGAAGAACTAATTCTAGTGTCATTCGGCTGTAAACAAACAAATATACTGCGGATATTGAGCGTGGACAATTATATATATTCCAACAGTAAACAATTAACATACTGCCACTTGAAATTTAGATTTTTTTAAAACAGCAGGTACTCCATCAATGTAGAAGAATTGCTTCGTTTTCCTTCAATTATTCATATTTTTTATTATATGCAGTAGCTCTCGCTCCTCCATGTATCCATTGGAGCTTGAAAAAAAACACCCTTTTTGTCTGCTCTCTGTTCTCCTAAGTCTGTTCTCTGTAATGGATCTCTGAAAGTTTTCGAAACGCGGTAACATTCAAAATTTGGATGAACGAGATTCAAATTTTCAACCGTTCCAATACTGGGCGATGCGCAGCGGCGTTCAAAATATGGAGGCGATTCGACAATTTGGGGGTTATTTTTTTTTCGCGGAAAATCACAATGAAACGACGTTTTGGAAAAGTAGCTAGATGGAACCTATTTAGGATAGGCGGGATCGAAACTTCCGAAGTATTTTGCTTTAAATTTTTGCGTTTTTTTTTTCGCTGCCGAAAAAACGCAATTTTCCAGAATAGGCACGAGGTTTGGGGAAATCACTTGGAATTATACCTTTGCTACTGCCGTTTAAATTGTAAGGGTGTCGCTTGTCTGCTTAAATTTTGTAAATTATTGCATCTAGTGTTTTTCACACAAACTAACCAAAACTAATGAAAACTATTTCCTGACGTTTTCGTTTCGGTTCGCTATATTAAAACTCCTTCACATGAACAACATAAGTTTCGTTAAAATTTGTTTTAATCGAGATTATTCTTTGCGAAGTAGTGGTTGTCTGATAATGCGGATATCAAGTACAACCAGGCAGCCAATCTTACCCATAGATTGCTGTACTTACAGGTTTCGGAGACACTAGTGTGACGAATGTAAGTGCTCGTTTTCTCTAAAACCCACAAAGATGTACCAAGTCTTTCGCTACTTCCATGAAATAGTTTTAAAATCAATGCATTTTCCTTTTTCATACACGTTCCTTGCTTTGCGATTCAACAAAATACAACAACAAAACTAATCACCAGCAATTGTGCATATAGCACATGCAATTGATACAACATGAACCTTTTGATATTACTACATTGCTCTTTATTTCAACTTGGGTGGTTCTATATTCATTTTCTTCTTTCTGGTTAGAGTCTCTTCATGCATAGTTTCATAAGAAATCCGTTACCGTATCATTAGGGACATACGTTTTTGCATTACGGTCAATTGGGGTCATCTTGGAGCAAAACCAGTAGATCGGTGACAAGTGAGATACAACCACAACTTCATCCATCCTCGCAATTTTTGGGTCATAGTGTTCGACCATCGCAGCCATAGTTTCTGTGGTGGGCGCCAGGTACTACCACTTCTATTTCTTTGCGGTACCGGTACTAGTACCCTTTCGACAGGAGACGTGAGACCAACGCTCAGTGGTTATTGTCCGGGTGTCACGAGCGCATTTCTCGACTCTCTGACGATATTCGTTAAATTCCAGTTGAAAGTGTTGCAGCACTACTCCAAGGAGGAAGATGAGGAAACCCTCGACAGCCTGAAGCTGTTGGGCGATACAGTGAGTAGTAGAATTAACTTGTTATCTTAAGATTTCCAGCAGGTTTTATTTTAGATATACTGTAGCGTTCAGTGAAACAGAATATTTTCTTCCTTTGAAATGACTGAGATGCTCTCGGACCTCCGAGAGTGTGTTGTGGGTTCTACGGAAGTAAATAAGGCACAAAATTTGATAACTACCAAATTTTTACTGAACGTAACACTTCAAATTTCTAAGGAAACAATAATAATCACGGGATTTTCTTTATCCCCAGGAACTCCGTCCTGTGGAACGTCTTCCACCCGTCTCCCCACCCTTCACGAACCGACTTTTTAACCGGGGACTGCAAATATCCCTTGTTGCCGCACTTCACTTTTAATCGCGCACCACATTACCCCCCTATTAAAACTATACATGTGGTTTAACAGATGCTAGAGTTTTAATACCGTTCTAGCAATTAAAATAAATGACAATGTTCAAACAAAGAAAACAAATTATAATTATTATTATCATTAAATTCTAAGTGGCTAATGATGCAAATTTGCTTCAGGCATGGGTTTAAATTTCTTTAAATTTATGATATTATGCGGACCCAAATATTGTCCGACATCGTTGACCAATAAGTAAGAATTTGACCCCTTCCTTTCAAACACCTTGTGCGGACCTTCGTATAATAGGACAAACTTTTTAATTTCTGCATTCTCAGCTGACGACTGAGCATGGGTTCGAACTAAGACTAATTCCCTTTGATTAAATACAACAGATTTTTTTTCTTTATTAAAAGCTAATTCCTTGCGCCTCCTTTTGGAAAGTAAGCGTTCATTGGCTAATATCCAAAACTGAGTCAAATCATTGCACGGCTTTTCATTGGAAAACAGGAAATCTAAAATACTCATTATATTATTGGGTTCGTGTCTACCGTTAAAGAGGAAACTAGGTGTGAAACCGGTGGCTTCGTGGACCACATTATTTATACAATGTTCTACGTTGCCCAATACAGCAGCCCATTTAGTATGTTTAGCAAAACAAAATGTGCGACGAAGACGGCCAATTTCTTTATTGACTCGCTCTGTAGCGTTTCCCTGTGGAAAATATACCGAGGTGAATATTTTCTTAGTTAGTTTAGTCACAATATCCTGGGCAGAGGCTTTGCGTAACAATTGTACATCCGGAACTGTTAAATCGGCAAAATTTTCACAAAACATACGTTCATAGTTTACTAACCCGAGAAAACCCTTAAGTTCGCGAATATTTCGCGGCTTTGGAAAAATTTTAATAGCTTCTATTCGATTTGGATTTATTTCTATACCTTTAGGCGAAATTATATGTCCGACAAATTCAGTTTTAGATTTAGCGAATGCGGATTTTCGCAACTTAATTGTCAAATTAGAGTCGTAAAATTTCTCAAAAATAGCAGATAAGTGTTTTAAATGAGTTTCAGCATCTGGGGAAAATATTAAAATGTCATCAACATAAACAAGAGTAAAAGATAACACTTCGGGTCCGAGTAATTTGGACAAACCCAGTATAAAACTTGCCACCGAAGTCAATACACCAAAAGGCAGAACATTAAAATAGTATGTTTGATTATTAAATAAAAATCCGGTAAAACACCGATGTTCCTTACGAATTGGTATTTGCCAATAAGAAGCCGTCATATCCAAAGTCGACAAAAATAGCCCACTTTGAAAACGTGACAACAATTCGTCCATTCGCGGCGGGAGAATGTGAAATTTTTCCATTTTACTGTTTAAAAATCGAGCGTCCAAACATATCCGAATAGATTTGTCCTTTTTTATCACAACTGTTAAAGGCGATACATATTCTGTTTGTCCCTGTTCAATAATACCCATTTCTACCATTTCATCAATTTGACGTTTTATCTCAGCGCGGTACGCCAATGGAATTGGGTAAGAAGCTTTAAAAAATGACGTGGAGTCGCGCATTTTTATTTCGTGTTCATATTTCGTTTTTAGTCCGGGCATTTCAGAGAAAATTTGGCTAAATTTGCTTAATAGTAAATATAATTTATCTTTATGTTCTTGATCAATTACGTCTGATTTGTTTGCTACGTCTCTTAGTTCTAAATCTGTATAAAAATGTCGTTTCTTTTTCTTATCCTGCAATGAGTGAAGATGAATCTGATTTTTATTTTGTTTTTCCAATTTAATTGGTATTTGCATTGTTCGAGTACCAATGCAAATCAACATTCGGTCAAAGTCTACTTTGACCTTCTCCCCCCTCATCCAATCTGTACCTAAGATTAAATCCTGATTTAACGTAGGCACTACTATACCAGAAATGTCAAATTTTTCTTTTACAATTTCAACTGGAAGTAAAACCTGAACTTTTACCTTAATACTTTTTCCCCCAAAAGCAGCACAAATGTTCATATTAGAGATTGGTAATATTGGTAAATTTTTATTACACCCCTGTAACTTTTTAAAGAAAGATTCAGATATGACTACCTGAATCAACTAATACGTCTATTTTCTGGTCAAATATCAAAGTTTCAATTATCGGAGACAACATTTCTTGTTCCTCTGCGGAGTCATTTTCATCTCCGTCACTCAAAAGCTCCTCGGACTTAGTTAAAAATCGAACATTTCGGTTTGCGCTACCGTCCCCTCTCACATTATCATTTTTGGAATCTCGCGCATTACTCGTATCTTGATTTTCCTGTCTACTCGGTGCTGAATTTCAACTTTGATAATTATTAAAACTAACATTTCTAACATTTTCCCCTGATCTACGTGACCTTTCTCCCTCAAACGTATCATCTAATTTCCTTAAATAGCATTCGACTTCATCTATTGTTTTCAAACCCGCAATAAATATCCCTCTTTGT